CCTCAGTCCAGAGCCAGGGTTGTTCTTGGATTTTTGCTTTGCTGCCATTCAGGTTATCACTGTTCCCTGATGGGATGTGGCCCATCCATCCTGTTTCACTCACCACAACGTTCCTGCCTCAGACTTATCTCCATAGAGACGTGTTAGATGTCGAGTCAGTATTGCTGAGCATGTTGGCTAAATGGAAAAGCATTGATGTGAGACATGGCCTTCAATTTCATGCTTTTGCTTTGTTGGGCGAAAGATGGAAGATACGTGTATCACTTTCACCTGCCTGTGCCTCTACTCCATAAATCATGGAGTTGGGAGGAAGAAGTTTCCTAAGTTGTGCAGGGGTTTTCCTACTGATGCTAAAGATCACTCTTGCACTCAGAGTATCTACTTAGGTAAAAACTGTAATACAAAGAAAATGTTATGTTATTTCCACCCTATCTGTCCTATCTGATCCTAAACTCTCCTTGATCATGGATTTGACCATTTGATGGTTATATGGGCCTAATCAAGTAACAAAGTTCCTGAACTGAATTACCTTATGTAAAGGAAGAGCTCCTGTTTCTGTTGAAACAACTGCAATGAGACACAAGTACAGTGACAGGTGGACAAGGTGTTTTTCCTTGCCTAATTGGTCATCTTGTCTATATATTAAGGAGCAGCTACCCATAGTTCAGATTCCCAGCAACAAGATTTCCCCTCCCCCAACCCCCACCCCTTTCTAGCACTGACTTCTCCTTTTGGTCAGAGCATTCTTATTTTCTTTTGGGAAGTTAATATGTTGTGATCTTCTGTTCCTTCATCTATAAACTATACTATATATGGACGCACAGACACATGGATGCACAGACACATGGATGCACAGACACACAGACGGACAGACACATACACACGTATACATGTATACACATGTCCATGTACCTGCACATGCAGACACTGGGCACAGACCCACGTGGGACTCCACAGACCATTGTCAAGAACAGGTAAGAGCAGAGATAGTACACAGTTCAGGTACCGACCTGGCACCTGGCCAGGCCCTCCTGTTGATCATCGATTTGCTCGAGCAGGCCCAGTAACGTCTCCATTGGAGACTTTGTTGTTACTGTGTCTGGCATATCGAATACTCTCGGTAGCTTGCCGGGCACCTGGCCAATCTTAGTTAAATCCCCATCACTGTATATGGTCCCCCAGGCACAGCCAAGAGTAATCCCTGAGCACAAAGATAGGAGTAAACCCTGAGCACAGCCATTGTGGCACCAAAACAAACAAACAAACAAACAAACAAAAAAGCCCCCCCCCCAAAAAAAAACCCAAGCAGACAAAATCAAATTTCCTCTGTTCCATAAAAAGCAGTTTCCATGCTAAGATTCGAAAAGCCCATTTGAAGTGGGAGTGATGATCAGGGATGTAGGGTAACCCAGCCAAGGGCATGGCTCATACAGAAGAGAATCATTGCATGGGCTAAAGAAGGGAGCAGGAAATTCAAACACAAATGGAGAAAGCTGCTCTATCTGCATGGAAACTGTGTTCCTTAGGTCCTTCTACTCCACTTCTGCAGACAAAAGGACACCTCAATTACCCTCTGATAGGATTTGTGTCCCTGAAAACAAAAGGATAAGGGAAACATGGGAAACTCACCATAGGAGACATCCCCACACAGGCAGCTAGAGAGGCAAGCAGGGTAGCTGCACAGGATACAGATGTGGTGTTGGGGGGTGTGGGTTGAAGTGGGTTGTTTGCAGGAGGGGTGTCTTTAAGGCTGTGGTGTAATGGAGGTGTGGTGGGTGAATCCAAGACAAACATGTGGTTTCCAATCATCATCCTTGGGGCAAGTTCCTGCCTGTTTAGTGAAAGAAAAAGAGAAAAGAGTGGGGAACAAAGGGAAAAAGTACCATCAGGAATTAGGGAAACTAGGAAGGACATCCTAAGAACAGAGGACTAGGCGAGACAGTTGTTCATTAAATTTTCCCCAGCCCACAATGATTCTTTTCAGCAGGAAATGTCCAGATCTCTGTCCACATCGTTTCTTTGACTACCTGATGGTGGGGACCAAAAGAAAGAGCTTCAAAAGGAAATACTTTACAGAAAAGATGCTTCCCCTTGTGCAAGAACCCCTAGGAGAAGAAGAATAATGGGCTATTTCAGCAGAAAGTATGAAGTTTTGATTGAACCCCAACTTCCATAGAAATGGAGGTAAGAACTGACAGTTGTAAATGAAACTGGGCCAAAGAACAGTATAGACCAAGGAAAACCCACACCCTAAAGGCAACTTATCTTGTTACTTTTCCCCCTCCCCAAAGTCTCTTCCTTGTTTAGGTTAGCAGGTAAAGCAGTGTTTCAGGGGACCAGCTCAGGAAGGTAATTCATGGTTCATTCTGCCCCAGGGGTCTGCAGTGCACCCTAGCTTCTCTGTCATTTGAAGGGATCCAGGGAGGAAAACTGGAACACTGATGGATGGAAGTCGACACTGGGGTAGGACTGTGAGTTAGAGCACAGTATACCTAAAATTCAAACTCAACTTTGAATGCCTGTAAATTACAGTTACTTCATTTAAAACAACAATCCCTTCTATTTAGCTTGTGGACAGGATAGTGGCTCTGAGCACATCCATTTACCATCTTCTGACCTACTGGCATGTTGTCACCAGTCACACATCAACAATGGCAGTCACAACCATCACGTACAGGGTCAGTTATGCCAGCCAGGCTGGCTAAACCAGCCTTCTAGCTCCTCTGCTCCTCATTTTGCCCCTTTCTACCTGACGGATGTTAACAGAGCCCCAGTGTCTTTCCACATGTTCTTACACCAAGATCTTGGGTGTGACCATGTTCACCTGCTTTCCCAGCAACAGCCACACCCTGACCACCCTCATTACTGAGGGCATAGGCAGCAGCACAGACTTCCTTACTATGTCCTGGTATTGGGGTTCATTGTCCTGGAAAAGGAGTTGAGTCATGGCCCAAAGCTCTGTCTTCTGCGTCTGCTGGCTGGCCAGCCTGCAGGGGGTCCTTTGTTCAGATCAGTATCCAAATGACTCTGTAACCTGTAGATCTTGATGTATTTGATGGCGTTTGATACAAAACCCTGGGGAAGGACCCAAAAAGAAGGGAGATGTGTCCCCACCCACGCATGTTTCTGCTAGCTTGAACACAGAGGGGTCACCTGAAGCTGAATGGCAGAAAGCCATGCCACCCAATTCCATCCCCACTTCACTGGCCTGCCCCTCCCCAACCCACAGTTGTGACTGTGGGGAGTCAGGTGGAAATGGGGGGCTCCCTCCACTATTACAGCCCCACCATCCTGCTCCATTGCCTCTGAGCTGATGAGGTTTGGACAGCTGGAACTAATGTGGCCAATACTGGGCTGGAGATTCTTAGACAAGCAGACACGCCCAAAATGAGGCTCTCCCTCTCGGACACTGAAAGAGGATGCCTCCGTTTCCCCTGGCCAGCTGCTGTGAGCAGTGCTATTTTAGACTGCCCCCATCCTACATTGTTAATATTCCTGTAAGTTCCTGGGCTCTTTCTGTTAAATTAGGTTTATGAATACTGAGACAAAGGGTAATAAATAAGAACCAATAGCCAAAAAGAGAATCCAAAAGACCGGAAACTAGCCAGACTACCCTGTATAATACTTACAACTGCCCCTGGTACCATACAATCTCATCAACGGCCATGATCTAGAGACTCAGAAATAAAGCTCCCAGAAGAGAGCAAGATAGGCCTTACCCATGAGTAAATCTGCTTTATAACAGTATTCTAAATTTCAGAGTTCTTGGTCCTCTCATACTCTTAACCACTGGTGTACCAAGAGTAGCACACAACATTTGATTGTAACAAATATGTTGGTAATATCTTATACAAGGGCTTAATGGCTCCAGGATGAAATACAACAATCTTCACACAGTTTCCTCTAAGGAAACTTTATTGAACCATTTAAGCAATACAAAGTTAATTGTTTTGGTTCTGCTTTGGGAGGCACAGTTTGGGATTTTGGGGTGGAAACATTTGAAATGGTGGTGGGAAAGTGCCATTGGTGGCGGGATTGGTGTTTGCATATTAGATGTAATGAATTATTGCGATCAACTTTATAAAAATAAAATAAAATTTGGCTCCAAAAACATTAATACTCACATTTACTATAATCACTCTTGTCACTTGATAAGTAACAAAAGACCCTATTTTCCTATTTTTAAAAAAAACCCACAAACCAAACCACACTTAACTTAGTCCAAGGCTAAGTTCCTCCCCAGGTTGGAAGTTTTTTTTTTTCTTATCCCTTCTACTTTCCAATAAACCTTTCTATTTCCAACTCTGAGTTTGAGCATCTTTAATATTCAACATTCTCATTCTTGAAAAATATATTGAAGAACCTGGGAACTGTGGACCAGCACAGAGACCCGCTGTCACTGTTTCCACATCAGATGGGACTTTTTGCTGCAAGCTGGGAAATCAATTCTGACCGTTTAGAAAGAAAAGTGTTGTTCAGTAGCACAGAGCAGCGCCCTCACCTTGAATTGGCCCCTGAGCTCTGCTTGGAGCACCCTCCACAAAATATAAAATAAAGCAAAGCAGGCCCAGGTTCAGTTCCCTGCACTGCACCTTGCCACCACAGCTCCAGAGCAGCACCAGGTGTGGCCCCGAAACAATAGCAACAAATCCACAGAAAAGAGATCTCAGAAAGAGCTCTCAAGTTGTGATTTTCCTGCCAGCCCCGGGGATCTCACTGCAGTGAAGGTTCTGATATAGGGGCTACCCAAGCTGGTACCAACCCTGTGCCGTGTGTAGAAAGACCCAAGTTCAGGGACATTGTTTCTCTCCTTGGGTGGGAAGCAGGAGAAGCCTGCCAAGTACCCGTACAATCTTGGATGAGGTGGGCAGGGAACTCTGAACCTGGGTGAGGTGGCAGGAAGGGGTGGGTAGGAACTATTACAGGAAGAGAGGGAGGGGATGGCTGGCAGCTACTTAAGGCATGAGTCCCACGCTCACTGGTCCCCAGACTGATGAAGGATGAAGACTGTGGTGCTGCTGCTGCTGGCCCTTCAGTGCCTGGACAGAGGTGAGTAGGGGGGTAGAAGGGATGCAGAGGGGCTGTGGTGGGCCTTCCCAGATGCAACTCTTTCCTCCCAACCCACCAGCACCAGAGCAGCTTCCAGTCACATCTCTCCTGGCTCTGAGTGCTGAGTCCAGGCTCCTTCCCGGCTGTGGGCTAGAGCCTGATTCTTTGTCTCATGTTGCTCCCACCCTCCACTCCTCTAGTCTGGACCTTGAAATGTCATGAGTGCTTTACCCTGGATGACACATGCTCAAAACCGGCAAATTGTTCCGCCAATATGAAAGCCTGCATTCTAGTGAGAGCAAGTAAGTGACTGGTGCTGGAACGGTGGGGTTGGCACCAGAGACTGGAGGGGGAGGGGGAGGCACTGCTTCCTGCCTAGGGAAGGGGTGTGTGTATGTGTGCACACCTGGTGATGGGGGTGGGGTGGGGTGTGGCTCACTTTGCTCTATAAAAAACCAAGATGGAAAGGGCTATCTGGGCATCACCATACACATGTGGCTTCTGTAGATGAGCCAGATGCCAGCAATCACCTCTGGCGTCCAGTTACCCCAGCTGCCTGCTGTGGGCAGGGATGCTACTCCAGGGTCCTACAGCCCCGGATGGGTGCCAGAAGCTCCAACCCGGGCTAAGACATGTGCCTTCCCCCTCACCACCACCACAGAGCCCACCACCACCGCAGTTTTTTCCATAATAGGTATCAAAGAACAATTCAACCAGACCAGCGTGGTGACAAAGATGTGTGTGCCATCCTGTGAGTATCCCCTCCCCACCCAGAAGAAAGAAGGCATCCAGGAGTTGGAGGCATATGTTCACTGCTGCACCACTGACCTGTGCAACGCGGCACCTGGCCGGGGTCTGGGGGCTGCCACTGTGGGGATGATGCTCCTGGTTCCAGTGCTGGTCACACTCCTGGGAGATTTTCTGTGATTGTCAAGCCACACAGGTGTGAAGGAGGCTCACTATAACTGTCCTGAATAATGCACTGGGGCCCCAAACCTACCCTAACCCTTTGGGAGGGGACAGGGTGCCCCTCGTTCAGCCAGCAAGTGGCCAGCAAGTGGAGACCCATGGCCATACAGACTCTGCCTTTACCTACAGCTTTGAATAAAACTCAGGTGACCGTCTGGGAGCCGCTGTCTGGGTGTCATTGCTCCATGGATGGGTAGAGGAAGCTAGGCACCATGGTGGGTGAGGGGCATGTCTTATGAGGACCGAAGGGCTGAACAGGAAGTGCCAGGCAACCTTGCACAAAGTCCTGGGGGCTGCCTCTACTGTCCTGGGACACATGGAAGGCGCACCCCTACCCTCAGCCCAGGCAGAGCACAGATGTCTCTGGCCTTGGAGCCAGGCTGGAAGGATGTAGGCCCCACAACTGCCCCGATGCAGCTGGGGTGTGTGGGAGGACATTCTCAAAGGCCATCCAAAGCGAGGCAGGACATGTCTTTGTGGAAGGAGCCACAGTGGGGAGAGAAAGGCAGTGGGGAGGGTAGGTGGGGGCTGATCTACAGTCTGGGGTACTTACAAACTGACCCCGGGGTACGGTCTGAGATCCAGATGCTGCCGGCCCCCCAGGAAGCTCTCTATATCTTCAGAGGCAATCACCCCTATGTCTGCATCCGGGTCACCTTATAGAGACAATAGTCCTATGGGACTAGGATCCACTTCAGAAATCAGACCCCAATATCCTGGTTGAAGGCTCCAACTCCAAGCACATCTGGGGCTCTGACCCAGGACTATGCACATGGATGAGGGGACTAACTGGACCTGAGCCAACAATAGCCAGGGAGAGGCAAGGGCTGAGTCATGGTACTGGCAGCAGGATCATGTCTCACAGGGCACAGATTAGGGGCAGCCACCTAGACACAAGGCCAAGGTATTGGAGTAGTGGCCGGGCCTGGGCTCTGCACCCCACCCATGGAGCCTGAGTGTGCTGGGGTTCAGCTCCCAGAGGGGCTCAGGGTCACTGAGATCCAGAGTCATGGTCCTACTGTACCCTCATCTGGCTGCCCCATGTCAGAACAAGGGGTAGGGGAGCAAGAACACAGGGGATCAGGTGGGACTTACATTCAGAACAACAGAGCCTTCAATACACCCCAGGACAGAGAGCCATAACAGCATAGACTACTCCCAAGTACTGCTAGTGGCTAGTCTGCATAGTGAAATATGAAAAATACAGGCACCTGTGCGTGGCTCCAGGGTGAGCTTTGGGACCCCAATGTGATGAACTTCTGAGAGTTCCCTCTGACTATCTGCTCCACCCAACCACCGCTGCCCATCATCCCATGTTTGGGTCATCCCCTGGCTTTCAGCAGTTCATGATGCCAAATACACATCTCCCATTCATGTTCCAACACACCTCATACCCAGCCCAGTTCCACTGACTGGTCAACATGCTAAAGCATATTCACAAAGACATATGCCCAGGTCCAGGGAAAGAGCACAGAGCAGTAGAAAATCTGCCCTGTATGTGAATGGTTATGAGTTAAAACCCCCAGTGTCCCACAGACACAAAGCAGCTCTGCCATTAGTGCCTGCGTCAGCTCTGTGGCTGTGATTTCAGGAACCATGAGAGTTTTCTGGCTACATTGCAGCCAGGTGTGTGTACGCACCACACAAAGGGCATGACCCTTGGTGAGCACCAGCACTAGGATGTGTGAGCACCAAAGCCAGAAAATGTAAACTCTGGTGAGAACTACAGTAACCCTGGTGTGTGCCACAACCATAAGTTATGTGGCTGGTGAGCATGTGTGCAACCACCACAATAATGAAGTGAAAACTTCAGTGAGCACCGACGCCAGTTGTGTGAGCACCACCACCTGTTGTATGAATTCTAGTGGCCACCATTGCTTAAACCTGTGACCATCACAGCCACAGGCCGAGGCATCTATTCAATCCCAGTCACTGACATGACAACAAAAAGGAACGAAAGGGTGAGGGGATGATATGAATAAGTAAACTCTTATGGGTGCTGCACACAGGCTCACATGCAAACACACACACACACACACACACACACACACATCCATGTACCTGTACTCACAGAAACTCGGCACAAGTGACACAACACCTCAAACTGTTAAACGAGGCCAAGATCTCCCCAGAGAAATCACACAGAGACAAGTTGTGATCCAACAAGCAAAGGGTCTTTATTGGCTAGTTGGGCTAGCTCAAGCTAGGGCACTCATCTGGCTCACAGACACTGTGGCAGCCTTCTTGGAACAAGCAGCCCTGAGTCTCAAAAGAGAGAGGCTTTTATTCCATAACATTTTATAATAGGGATTTTCAGTGGACATCCTTTTGGCCACAATCTGAGGGGCTTTCCACTACTTGTACTTACCCTCAGTTCTCTGTCCCTTCCTATAAAAACCCCTCTGAGTGACCAGGCACATAGGATTATGCCTGTGAGAACATGAATCTGCCTTGTTCCAACCTGCCACATGTTACCCATAAAGCTCTTTCTCCACCTACCCTCATGTCTCTGGTTTGAATGAACCCCAAGTGGTAGAAACCGCACTTATGGTAACTGGGGGTCAAGGTGGCTTTGTTTTCAAACCCGGCAATGCTCAGGGTTGACTCTGGCTCTGCACTCAGAGGTCATTCCCGGCAGCCGTGGGGGGGACCCTGAGGGGTGTGAGGATGCTGCCTACAAGGCCAGTCCCCTGTCGCTATCCTATAGCTCTGTCCGGAGGTGGGGGCTTCTGAATGCCCCCGCTGAGCTGTGCTGAGCCTCTAGCTGGTGGGGGGGGGAGAAGGGGTGCATGCTGGAGCGTCCGCAGGAGGGGTTCGTGCGGTGCCGAGTACCCACCCCCGAGCCAGGATGACCCCCGGCACCCCTGCTCCTCTCTCCCGGCAGCCACAAAGCCATGGCTGCCGGGAACCTGGAGACAGATGACCTCACCCCGTCCAGTATCGGGACGCAGTTCCACGACTGCACCATCCTCACCATAGCCCACTGGCTCAACACCGTCCTGGACTGCACGAGGTAAGACATGATAATTACCATAATGAGATCCAAGTATAAAATAAAATTTAGTGTAGTATTGAAAAATTGAAAAAAAAAATAAGAATGCTGGATGCAACCATTTTCTCTTCTCAAACTGAGGAATCAGGGAGGTAGAGAGAATGAGGGTAGGCTTGCAGAGGGATGCTGGGGCTCGTCTGGTTTGGAAATACCATTCAACTCAGCCCTCCTTTTTCCTTTTGCCTCTGTCATTTATTATTTATCACAGAATGACTAGTATGAAGGAGGTGTAGGGACACAGCTAGACTTGGCTAAGCTATTTGTTTTGATCATGGGAAGCATTTTCTTTGCTTTCTAAGGGTGAGTCATATTCTTATTTATTTCTCACCTTTGGTATCAATTGTGTCAAAGAGAGCCTCTGATTACCTGCCCATGTCCAGGAACTTACTGAATGGGTGCTGGAGGTGTGGCCCCAGGAGATGGTGGGTTCATGCCTGTAGGGGCAGGCCTGACCCCCAGTTACCATAAGTGCGGTTTCTACCACTTAGAGTTCATTCAAACTGGAGACATGGGGGTAGGTGGAGGAAGAGCTTTATGGGTAACATGTGGCAGGTTGGAACAAGGCAGATTCATGTTCTCACAGGCATGATCCCATGTGCCTGGTCACTTGGAGGGGTTTTTATAGGAAGGGACAGAGAACTGAGGGTAAGTACAAGTAGTGGAAAGCCCCTCAGATTGTGGCCAAAAGGGTGGTCCGCTGAAAATCCCTGTTATAAAATGTTATGGTATATAAGCCTCTCACTTATATACCTCATTTATATACCTCTCACTTATATGCCAAGACTCAGGGCTGCTTGTTCCAAGAAGACTGCCACAGTGTCTGTGAGCCAAATGAGTGCCCTAGCTTGAGCTAGCCCAACTAGCCAATAAAGACCCTTTGCTTGTTGGATCACAACTTGTCTTTGTGTGATTTCTCTGGGGAAATCTCAGCCTGGTTTATCAGTTTGAGGTATTGAGTCGACTTGTGCCCAGTTTCTATGAGTACAGGTACATGGATGTGTGTGTGTGTGTGTGTGTGTGTGTGTGTGTGTGTGTGCATGTGAGCCTGTGTGCAGCACCCATGAGAGTTTATTTATTCATTTCATTCCCTCACCCTTTTGTTTCTTTTTGTTGTCATGTCAGTGACTGGGATTGAATAGAAGCCTCGGCCTGTGGCTGTGATGGTCACAGGTTTTAGCAATGGTGGCTACTAGAATTCACACAACAGGTGGTGGTGATCACACAACTGGCATCGGTGCTCACTGAAGTTTTCGCTCCATTATTGTGGTGGTTGCACACATGCTCACTAGCCACATAAATTATGGTTGTGGCACACACCAGGGTCGCTGTAGTTCTCACACATGTGCTCACCAGAGTTTACATTTTCTGACCTTGGTGCTTGCAGTGATAGCACAGCGGTAAGGTGTTTGCCTTGCTCGCAGCTGACTTGGCCGACCTGGGTTTGATTCCTCCACCCCTCTTGGAGAGCCGGGCAAGCTACCCAGTGTATCTTGCCCCCAAAAAGCCTGGCAAGGTACTCGTGATACATATTCAATATGCCAAAAACAGTAACAACATGTTTCACAATGGAGACGTTACTGGGCGCGCTCAAATCTATGAACAATGGGAGGACAGTGCTAAAGTGGTACAGTGGTGCTCACCAAGGGTTGCGCCCTTTTTGTGGTGTGTGCACACACCTGGCTGCAGTGTAGCCAGAAAACTCTCATGGTTCCGGAGATCACAGCCACAGAGCTGACGCTGGCACTAATGGCAGAGCTGCTTTGTGTCTGTGTGTGTGACTGGGGGTTTTAACTCATAACCATACATGTACAGGGCAGATTCTCTACTGATCTGTGCTCTTTCCCTGGACCTGAGCATATGTCTTTTTGAATGTGCCTTAGCATGTTGACCAGTCAGTGGAACTGGGCTGGGTATGAGGTGTGTTGGAACATGAATGGGAGATGTGTGCTCAGCATTATGAACTGCTGAAAGCCAGG